TTGTAGGAAAAACAATGGAAAGGCTCATAATAGCGAGAGATCTAGTGATGCTGGATAGGGAAGGGAGGCTGACAGCCACGCAACACGGCTTCCGCAAAAACAGGTCCTGCCAGACAAACCTTGTGGAATTCTATGACAAGGTTTTGAAATGGCTAGATGGAGGGGATGCAGTGGATGTGGTGGATTTCAGCAAGGCCTTTGACAAAGTGCCCCATGATATCCTGGTGGAGAAACTGAGGAGTTTTGGGATACACCAAAGCACTGTCCAGTGGATTAGGGCATGGCTGACTGACCGAAAGCAGAAGGTAACCATTAGCAGGGAATCATCGGGAGGGCGGCCAGTAACAAGCGGGGTCCCCCAGGGCTCTGTCCTGGGGCCACAACTGAGGAGCAGGTACTCCAGATCCAAAAGGATCTGGACAGACTATGGAAGTGGGCAGGAGACAACAGGATGGGGTTCAATGTGGATAAGTGCAAGGTCTTGCACTTGGGGCATAGGAATAGCTGTCATAAGTACAGGTTAGGTGACAAGTGGCTGGAGAGCAGCACTTGTGAAAGGGACCTCGTGGTACTGGTTGACTGCAGGCTAAACATGAGTCAGCAGTGTGATGCGGTGGTCAAGAGGGCAAACGCCACCCTTGGTTGCATAGCCAGAAGTGTGGCTTCTATATCGAGAGAGGTATTACTACCACTCTACACGACTCTGGTGCGCCCGCAATTGGAGTATTGTGTTCAGCTTTGGGCCCGTCATTACAGAAAGGATATAGCCAGGTTGGAGTCAGTGCAGCGTAGGGCCACAAGGTTGGTGGCCGGTTTGCAGGGGATGCCGTATGAGGCGAGACTGAGGGAACTGGGCCTCTTCAGCCTGGAGAAGAGGAGACTCAGAGGGGATATGTTGGCGACATACAGGTATGTGAGGGGATGTCACATGGAGATGGGTAGAGACCTGTTCTCCCCTGCAGAGGAAGGCAGGACACACTCCAACAGAGCAAAGCTCAGGGAGCCAAGGTTCCATTTGGATGCCAGGAAGCACTTCCTGACAGTCAGGTCCCCGAGGGTGTGGAATGGGCTTCCATGAGAGGTCATTGAGGCCCCATCAGTGCGGGTGTTCAAGGATAGTCCACATGGTGGGCATGTCTTGAGCGGAGCCGGCTGGTGCCAGAGGTCAGACTAGATGGCCCGCGAGTCCCCTTCTGACTCGCTCTGTTTCTATGTTTCTATGTTTAAGGTCAAGGTCTCTTTTCCCTGCTACCAGAGTATAGGACACAGAATAATCAATTCAAGTTGCTATAACCCAGGTTCAGGCTAGATAACAGGGAAAATTTCCTGACTGTCAAAGCAATAAGACAGTGGAACCAGTTGCCTACAAAGTCTAGGACTTTCCCGCACTAGCGACATTCAAGGCGAAACTGTGCAGCCATCTGAGTGGGATGGTGTAACATGCTGTCCTGCAACAGCCGGGGGTTGGACCCAATGGTCCCTTCCAACTTTACTATGATTCTGTGATGGATTCAGTGTGCACTACTTGGCCAATATTCTGTCATGATGATGTGGATAAGGGCAAACTAGTCTGCATATTTCAATTGTGGAGACTATGCATGTGTTTCAATGGACACATATTAAGTCAGTCGCGTGTTTCTTGCCATGTGGATCGGTGATATTCATCACACAAGTAAAGAAGGAAAGTCAATGGGTTGGACATGTGTTTGTGCTGATGTGGACAGAATCATCTAAAGTACATGATCAGCCATTACAACTCAAGGACCGCAACATAACAATGACCATATGATCCAATTTAAAGTGCATGATACCAAAATGAGGGGAAAAAACTACCAACAAGCAAATTCCCTGGCCCAGTGGATTAACTAACACAGAGACTAACACACATACTCTGCCTACTCAAAACCTATCAGATCTTGGTCCTCCTTTCAAATTCCTCACACATACCTGCTACCCATAACAAGCATTCCTTATTAACATAGGTTTTACTCTAATTTTTCATAGCCAGACTAACAATGTAATCTGTGAGGTATGTTTCATCAGGAGTACTGCCCTCAGTCTCTTTCCACAAACTACCCAAGTCAGTTCATTTTCCCATCCATTTGGTATGGCTACAGTCTGAGAACGTAGATCTAGCTGTGTCTACAAGGTGACCAAATTTTCTCTTATGAGGTGTGATAGTTTGTAAATGAATACCCTGATTGTCATGATAGCAAAATGGAACCTCAGTGTTCAGAGGCAGTATATCTGAAAGTATGAGATGGTGTGGGATTACTAATTTATGGAGAGATAAGCACCAGGCAGTCTGTGGAGGAATGTTATTTTCAAACCCAGGGAAATGCACTATCAAAAATTGAGGTTTTAAGACAGCAAATGAACCTTTAAGAGCACAGTTAAACTTATCTAAAATCTCAAACACCAGAAAGCTGGAAAGACAGAAGTTAAGGCTGATTTCATAACATATGTGTCATGTGATCAGTGATGATGCTCTGTGATGTCACAAACTGTGCTTGTTAAGGACTGGGCAGCCATACACCCCTCGTCACTTGCCCTGGCTTTTGAGGCCCAAATCCAGATGCTCCTGCTATGCATATGGCCATCCTTAAAGAGCAGGAAGAACAACAAAAATGACATCCACATTGTTGTTCCTGCACCCTGCATTTTCAAAGAACAGGCTTTTTTGTCTATATAGTGAAAATACTTTGAAGGGCAAGGTTGAAAATAGCTTTCATTCTGGCCCATGCAAGTTCCATACCTCCTTATCCACTGAAAGCCCTATTCCCCCTCCCTCCAAGGTATTTCTGTCCTTGGAGAGTAGGCCAGCATGGTTCTTTCAATGCAGACACTTGGGAGAGGGTTAGATTATATATTCCCCCAGACAGAGCACTGTTTTGTACTTTGGTCAGTGTATCCGAAGTATCCTATGGTACTTCGGATGGAATTGTCTCTTGTGCAATAGTAATAGTAACAATGGGAGATCCTTAATACTTTTTAATCTCCAAGTAAAAGTAGGAGTTAAGATAAACCTACATAGTACATAGATCCATCAGAAAAGTATATTAGAAAACACCTATTTCAAATAAAGTCATTTCTCATTATAGTTTCTTCTTCCCTGTTCTACCCTTTCATGAAGACTACGAAGCGCTGCTGAATAGCTCAGTGGGATGTCAAATCATTTTAACTTAACCCAGCAAGACATACACAGTAAATATGGATTTTGAATTAAAGATCAACAATTAACTAGAGCCAAACTTATTAACTTTTATTTCTCCTCTCATCTCCAATTAGTCATGGCTTTATTTTTTTCATCAACTACAAAACGTCTCCTTAGATGTTGTGTCACACGTCAGTTCTCAAGTTTTAAGAGTAATCCAAAGTGGCACTGAAAACACTAGAAAGAAAAAAGAGAAAGACTGACCGACCGACTGACCTACCTACAAAACTAATAAGACATAAATTATGGGAAGCAGAGACCTGCTTCTTTCCCTAGGAGGGGGAAGGGAAGATATACATACAAAGTTTACAAAAAGGTACACAGATATAGAGATATACTTCTGCTAACTTTTGATTGGTGATTGCATTAAAAAACATGTAAAATAATGTTGTGTACATAAGCTCGGTCAAAGGGATAGTGCAATGGCCTTGAGGAATCACTTATTAGCCCCTGTACCCCAGTCTATGGAGCATCCATGTTGATTGGCTGTTCGACTGAGCTGGCAGTGAGCTGAAACGATCCCATTTCAAATAACAACTTATCTAGGAATCTCACTGGGAGATCTAGAACCAGCCTCTCTCTCTTCCCTTCACCTACATCACAGGATTGTTATGAGGATAAAATGAAGAGGGAACAAACATGTGCGCCACTTGGAGCTCTCTGCAGGAAGGGCAGGATCGAATCAGAGACAGATATTCAAATGCTGCTGGTGGAAGGAAGCAAGTAACATTTGGCCTGGCTCATGGCCATACAGGCTGCTGCTGTTCCCCAGCTATGCTTCACAGAAGTAAAGTGCGCCCAACCTCTAACCTGGTCAGGTGAATCACAGCTGAAAACTGTAGCAGTCGACATGCCTATGCCAGTTCAGACAGCACTATACTCTTCTGTCCACATAGGTGCTTGGCATGGCTTTGCCCCATATGAACTGGGCCTTCATGATCAGTATCTAGAACTGAAGAAACTCCATAGCTCAGTTCTAAGACTATGCGATTTTCAGGACAAAGCTCCAAGGGCCATCCCTGAAATTGCAAAGGATAATTTGGAAAGCATCCTCTGGCAACCCTCCATTCTGGAGTCACTGCCAGCGCTGCCTCAAATGCTCTTCCTGTGCACTAAGGAGAGGGGCTGTTTGGCAGTGGCACGGAGAAAGGGTTGACCAAGGAATTGTTTTAGGGATACTGAGTAGCACAGTGACTGGCATGGACCTGTAAACAGGGAAAACAATTAGAGCAGATGTGATGGTATGAGTGGTAGGTTGTGGTACTGGAGATACGGCTTTGGTCCCCACCAGGCTCACTGAATGACTTTGGACTAGTCACTGACTCTCAGTCTAATCCATCTTACAGGGCTGTTGAGAGGATGAAAGGGAGAGGAGGAGAATCATGTAAGCCAGCTTAATTCCTTGAAGGAGGAAAAAAAGTGGAATATACATGTAAGAGAGAAATGAAACGCAGCAGTCTGAGAGCCCTGAAACAGTTGTGGAGAAGAAATTAGGTAATAACAGAAGGACCTTGAACTATATGTGGAGTCTAAAATAATGGCAGTGGAATGATATAGTGAGAAAGAGAACAAAACCACAGACTCACACACATGTCTTCACTGCAGATATGGTGAATTACTGAATGGGTCTGATCTGCGACCTTCCTTTCCAAAGCATGAAACTTCCCTTTTTATGCAAGCAGCAAATATTGCTTTTTCCAGTAAAGGAATATAGCACATGAAGACACATTCTTATGACGTGTAATGCAAAAAAGACAAAGAAAACATGCACTTCTAGTCAACTTACTCTGTGCAAACTTTGGTGGATTGTCATTGACATCAGTCAGGGTTATTGTCACAGTGGTGGTTCCAGACAGTCCACCCATGTGCCCACCCATATCTTTTGCTTGGATGACAACAGTGTATTCCTCTTTGGCTTCCCGGTCCATGTTTGAAAGAGCAGTTTTAATAATAGCTAGAGAAAAAGAAAAAAAGATGACAAAACAAGGACAGAGAAGACAGTTAGTGCTACATGCATAAGATAGAGAATGGGATTAACTACAGGCATGCTTTGCTTGGAGCCATTTGTATTCAAAGAAAACTATTGCCATCAAAATCATCTTCACTTCCCACCACAACAAGCAGTCTTGAAGCAACTTTCATGCAAAAATACAGACATTCACGATTCACTGGGGGAAGGAATACAGAGAAGGGCCTCTGGTGATGACTTCAGTGACTGGGTTGGTACCTATGGAGACAGGCGTTCCCTCAGATGCGAAGGCATGACTGTAACCAGCAAGGGTTGGTCCTATTGTTATGTGAGGGGAGGACCCTGCCTCAAGTGTTGGATATAGTGGGGTGGCAGCAGCAGCTGCCTCTTCCCCAGCCATTGCCCCTCAGACCCCTCCTGACAGGGATCAGGCTGTACAAGTCATTTGGTGGGTAGCAAAAGCAGGCCGCAATATTCAGTATCTGAGACAAATATGCGTCTCCGTCTGAGTTCTCTTGATTAGTGGGGGCTCATATTTTGGCTATAGGGCAAAGCATATAGAGCACATGGTCCTGTAAGTCACATTTTCTCTGTCTAGTGAGATAAAATGCAATGTTTCTTTAAAGCCAATGTTGTTCATGGCACAAGCACCTTGACTTGCCACTCTGCATCAGGAAACAGCAAGATTTGGGCTGGCCAAGCAAACAACTTTCTCCCCCAGCCAGGCTTTGTGAGTGACTCTGTGTCCTGGGCTCAAACAACCATGAGACAGAAAGTCAGAGCCCTAAAAGTGGCATGGCAGGATTAGCTTATCAGCACTTGTGTTTCCTGAAGGGAATTGAGAGAAGAAGCCCTCAGGAACTTAAAACAAAAAAGGAAAAAACCCAAAGAGCTAAAACTGTTTTAACAAGGAGGTGGAAAACCGTGAAGGAAACAAGACCACAATTCCGGAGTCTACAACTAGGCTGCAATCCTGTGCACAGTTACTTGGGAGTAAGTCTCATTGAAATAAAAAGGAGTTGCTAATGATATGTAGGGTTGTGCTGCTAAGGTATGCTTTTGAGGTCACAAGCGATGGTTGTTTAAAGAGCAAAAACTCCCAGCATTCCCTAGTCAGCTAACCCAGAAGAGGTTTCCTTCAGACTGACACGTGTGTGCAGTGGCATGAGGAGATTGTGGACGGATGCAAGATAACAAAAGCAATCATTTCTCATTGTTTTCTCAATTGTTTTAGCACATTAAAACACGCATGCATGCACATACCAGCCAATCAGAGATCGAGCAAGCACTGTGAAGACATTGCAGTATCACAGTGAGAGCACCAAACTCTCATTTCACGTTGAACAGAACAATGTTTTCATCCTAGTTTCCATCCCCTCCATGAATTATCATCAAAAAGAGTTTCACATTTCATTTTATTATTACTTAGTACAAGAGTGGACTTAAAAATATATGTCCACAGTATGCACAGATAGTTTCAAGTCCAGTAGTCCTTGGTTGTCAAAGTCTTTCCTAATCAATTCTAGCAGTAAGCAATTTAATCCAGTAATGTATTTCTACAGCAGTCCATCTACTCTGTCCTCAATTCCCCTTCAAAGTCCACATATCTCAATAAATGCAATATATTTCACATCCAGAAGTATTGCAGTCTGTACTGCTTTCTAGACAGAGAAGAGTCAGTGTGGTATAGCAGAGACCTACTCAGCTGCAAAGCTAATCAGGTGACCAGAACACTCATGTCAGCCTAACTTAAAGTTGTTCAGGGACCATGACCTCCTTGGAAGAAGAGCAGGACAAAAGATAAATTAAGCGAAGTGTTATTGTGCTTTGCCACTGCAGGGTTCTTAAGGCTTTCCTTCTGGTTGGCTTTAAACTAAATCCATTGCCAAAAGTAATCTGAAAGAGACATACATACACAAATACAATAATCCACAATTCGTATAACAAGCAAGATGTTGCGAGGGGGGGGCGAGGTTGAATTGATATAAACCATAAACAGTGTGTACACCTTGATTAAAGCTACTGGATATTTAAGGGGTGGGTATGCCATTGGTACTGTATTAGTTTAATTGTGTTCATGATGAAACACTCAAAGTAAGCAGAGCTTTGTTACGTTATTGTCTCCATGATAGCAACAATTCATTGTTGTGCCCTGTTCCCTCCACTCCCACAGTACTTGAGCACTCATAAGCAGCAGTGCAGCAGTACAGAAATCCATTCCTTTGGAAGAAAATCAGCGGATACTTTCAAACTATCAGTTTACTTACAAACCTAATTAAACTTAGTGGAATCTTGCTTGCTTGTTTGTTCTTTTCCAGCACCCAATAGCTGAAGCTCTTAAAGCAGGGAGCACAAGTACTGCATTTGATCCTTAAGAAGAAGCTGCCTTCTCAAAGGATGCTTTAATTGTTGGCCAATTCCAGGTTAAAGTCTGCTTCTGTCTGTGTCCAATACAAACTGACAACTGCTTCTAGCAATCTCTGTCCGACAACTGCTTCTAGCAGTCTCTGTCCCTCATCCACTGTTTCTGCCCGCCAAAGGCTGGGAAGAGAGATTCAAGCTATCGAGGATGAGGATGGTTGTTGTGGCAATGATTATCCATTAGTTGCTAGGGAATCAACCTGTTCACAGTAATCAAGGCATAGTCAAACCCATAATGATACATGCATTTCTGTAGAAGTAATTATTTCCCTCAAAAGACACACACACCAATACTGCTTTTGAATCATTTTTTAAATGAAATCATTTGTCTGTGAAAAGAGAGCAAGAGGTTCATGTTATTGAATCGTCTTAGTAATAAGTGAAGCATTAAGAATGTCAAGGGAAATTCAATCCACCAGTGGCTTTTAAAATCACAGTGCTTGGGGGTTTCTTTCTCAGGGATAGGAAGAAGAAAAAAACCACTCTCACACACTTATATTCAGGAGCTTATCCTGTCAGAGCTCTCAGCTGGAGAACTCTGCTTATGTGGAATCATTAATGATTGCACAATAATTACTTGATATTCACCCCCCCCCCTTTTAAAGCAATAATTATGTAGCCCAGTGTAATGAAAAGGTTTGCAGGTGAGATTGTGTACCCCTGTGATCATTCAATTTTAGTAACCCATTTAATTCCACATGATAAAGCAGAGAACATATTTGAATTTCAAAAACTGAGGACATTTCATTGCATACAAATAAAAGACTTGTGATACAGACATGGGGAACCAACACAAGATAGGGCATGGGGGCAGTTACACTGACTCTCTAAAATGCCTTTCAGAACTATCAGACAGTGGCAGAGGAGAACCAGAACCTTTGGTGAAATTCACACAACACTAAGCATTCTGGGCTCAGTCTGATATGGCTTGCCTTAAAAGAGAAAGGAATACTACAAGCTTCTGAATCCTCAGCTTGGGCCCAAACCTCAGCTAGAGAAACTTTCCTAGTTTGTATCCTGCTTGATAGATCTGCTTTTGAGAAAAGTGGGTTGAGGGAGGCACTGTCCAACATAACTCCCCTCACAAATATTTTCCTGAAGGGAGCCTTTTGAATCAGGTGCTAGGCAAAGTAGTGGAGAAATTTCTCTATTGCATGTCCATAAAAAGCTGACCTCAAGAAAAGTCATCGAATTCAGATTAGTTATGAACTGGAATGGGCAAATCAGCAAACATAAGCCCACCAAAGTTCTCCAAATTCCATCTATGATTTGAGTGCGTACAAGATTTTCTCTTGTTTCCCCCACAGGAAATTTCATTTGTATTTTATATGCATTTTTCTAAATGTATACAACAGTTCTATATATTTTTGAAATGTATGTATTATTTTCCAAGTGATAAAAGTATATATGTCTGTATTTTGCAAAAGTAAGAATTTTCTCTCACAGATCTTTCAAATGTACACTTGCTATCAAAGACATTTTCAGGGCATCTAGGAATCACATTGCAACCTCAGAAAGGTATGGATTTAGACCACAGATTGTGTCAAATGAAAAGATATGAATTGGATAAATACAGAGTAAAATGAACTTAAATGAATTTCTGTTACTTCCCTAATTCAGATTTTCTCTGTACAAATTCCTAATGTGGAGGAGAAGGTTCCATGTGTTTCCAACATTTTTAAGCTGAATCCTACATGAGACCATGTAGCTCACCCATCCAGCAGGGTTGCATATATTTTAGGGATGGAGGGAGTGTTCTTTCCTTCAGGCTGTAATACACCTTACAGTCAAAACAGCAGAGTAACAGAAGCTAGTCTTCCAAAATTATTTACCCTATTCTTAATGAGAGAAATCAAGAAGAAAAGTATTTCATCGAATTTCTCTAGTGGAACAAGTTCTCCAGCAGCTTAATACTAATGGCAGTGGAACACCGTCTTTCTGTTTTCCTCAGGTTATTTGGATGGTTGGTAGAAGTACCAATGGCAACTGTAGTGACAGCCTGGGCAGCATTTTGCTCCCTCCCCACTGCTCCAGAAGTAGCCTAATTCCAAGTCATTGTGTCTGTGCATGTGTGTATATGTATGTATGCATTTTCATATTTCATTTTTTATCTTTATCTTGTTTTTACATAAACTATCACTGAAATTACTTTCTCTTTTGTATTCTGAAAAAATATCCCAGTGTAGTAAATACTTATAAGTAAATACTTATAAATAGTAAATATTATTCAGTATTTGAATAATTCTTCATTTTAAGCTAAGCAGCTCTGTAGCTGACCTGAGCTTGGAGGGGAGACCACCTGGGAACAACAAGTAGCTGCCTTGAGTTCCACAATGGGAAATAGCACATAAACATGATCAATAAATAGAATGGGTGTGCATGTGATTATTTTAAATTTCACATGTTTGTTTTAATTTGGATATTTATAATTTAAAAAGCAATCCAAGACGTAATAATAAGTTGGTGATCACCTGGATAGATTGTAAAGACAGATGAATTTAAAAGCAACAGTGAAGTGTGTCTAGTACAGTCTCCTTCTGCTCCAATTTCTGAAATACGGGGCT